AAACAGAATGGTATCATTAGCATACTGTAAACTAATTATCCCCCCCCCAGGGAATAACTTGGGGAAACAAACCAGCAATCAAACCATGGTTATTTTAAAGAATACATTAGCAACCAAGTTAAACATTAGTGGTGAGTGTGGGTCACCTTGTTTAAGCCCTCCCCCCTCCCACGAAGTGAGGGCCATTAGCATCATTGATCCTAAGTTGAAATGTCCCTTGGTATAAAGTACTAAAAATCTAGCCCACCCATTTTTCGCCAAGCCCCTAGACAGGGGCATTTCTTTGAGAAAATCCCAACTCACCCTATCATAGGCTTTCTCATAGTCAAGTTTCAAAACCAAACCAGTATATCCTGACCTATGAACCTCATGAATAACTTCATGGGCCATCACCACACTTTCCAAGAAAAAGACGTTTGATTAGAAGAAATAAGTTTATCACATAAGTGGGAGACCCTGGTAGTCATAGCTTTGGAGAAAATCTTACAACACAATTGCTCAAGCTAATGGTCCTAAAGTTCTTCATGTCCCTAGCATGAGGGGCTTTAGGGATTAGGATAATAATAGAAAAATTAAGTCTATAAACATCTAGCACCCCATTCTCAAAATCCATAACCAACCATATAAAGTCATCTTTAATAAGGTCCCAAAATGTGTGATACAATAAAAAGGAGACCATTAGGACCATGAGCTCCACTAGCATAAGAACCCATGATAGGTTATTTGATTTCCTCCTCAGAAAAGGATTTTTCCAATTCACCCCTCTCTGCTTCATAAAAGACCAAAAGTCACAATCCAGATGGATATCAGATTTAGGTACAAAAGCAAAAAGGGTTTTATAGAAAGAGGTGGCAACATCCAGCATCTCAGATGTGGATGTCACAACACCATCAGGTCCAACCAACTTAAAGAGGTGGGCTTTCCTGTGCCTATGATTAGCCAATGCATGAAAGTAAGCATTGTTGCGCTCACCTTCTAAAAATGTTCTATCTCTAGATCTCTGCCAAAGTACAGTCTCCTGCTTCCTCCTAATATCATCAAATTCTTGCTTGACAAGCTTCATTCTATCATAATCTTCCACAACAAGTTGTTGTGACTCAAACAAAACAACCAAGATATCAAACTCCATAAGGAGGGCCTTCTTTTTTTCTTCTTAATAGCAGCTTCCAAATTAATGCTCCACCCTTTTATTTTCTTTCTAAGGACTCTGGTTTTGGCTATCCAACTGTCAGTTGAAGGAATGGAGAAGGAAACAGAATTCCATGCATCTCTGACCACCTGATCAAAGCCGGTCTAAAAGAGCCACCATTTTTCATATATGGACATTTTGGGGCCAGTACACTTGTTGGTCCCAGTGTTCAGCACCAGGGGTTATAGACACTGCCAACCCTGGGGAGGGCATTTAGAGAAGACATGGGGAAATGAGAATCTCGGTCCATGGAAGTGAACACCCTATCCAAGATAGCAAAAAGGATCTTGGTTGTTAGACCAAGTATAATTTCTGTTGGAGATAGAAATCTCAAGGAGCCCCCACCTATTGATCCAATCGTTGAACAACAAGGTGCTTTGATGGTTGATTAAACCACTACTTTGATCATAACCACCTCTAACCAAGTTAAAATCACCACACACCAAAATAGGATAAGTAGCAGAGTCAAAAACATCATGTAATTCATTAATAAAATCCAACTTAAATCCAGGGTAAGTAGATCCATGCACACAACCAAATGCCATAAGAACCCATTTTTTTAACAGTGCCTTTAATGGAAAATCTATTATTAGTAAAACCAACAACACCAAACATATCTTTCCTAAGACCAAGCAAAATTTCACTAGCAATATTAACAACATGCAAAAATGCCAAGTGAAATTACCCATCCTATCCAAAACCTTAGGTAAACCCACAACAATGAGTTCCCTCTTATCTCTTGGAAACCAATGCAATCGGGATTAGTTTTAGCAATTACATCACACATGCACTGAATTTTACTAGGTTCCCCTAAACCTCTAATATTCCAAATCAAACATATCATTATTAAGGAACCCTAAATGGATGAGACAAGCCACAAGGCTTAACTTTAGTAAGGATAGCAGAAGTTTCCCCTAAAGCATCAGCAGTGCCCACTGGCTTAGAGAAAGAGGTCCTAGCTGGAGTCCCAACTAAAATCATCATGGGTGATATCAATATTTTCAGGTAGAACTATTTCTGGGTTACCATTGGCAAAAGCCAGACAATTTCTTGCTCTCTAGTAATTAAGTCTTCAATGATAGCAAACTTATTAGTTTCGTCACCACCAAACAACACATTAACTTTACTGGCTTGTTCATATAAAGCAGTAGGATCAATAGTAGAGAAGGATTTACCTTTGAAAGTTCTTGGGATTTCCAAATTCTTCTTCATCTTGTATGCAGCAGCTTTCTCCATAGTGTTCACATGCCCATGAATCCTGGTACAATGTTTCTGAGCCAAAACCATTTGGAATTCTTGGAAGGAATGTCATCCACCTGGGCCTGGTTTAATTACTCTAACAAAGATCTTTTTAGGCCATTAGATTGTATAATTTGGATAGCCTCGGGAGGGAGAACCTCCAGCTCTTCATCAACACCATCACATTTTTCCTCATCAGACTCAACCATGTCAACAGATTCAGAAGATCCTCACAGTACTTCATATTTTCAGTTTTCTCACCACCTGATACATTCCTCATATCAGTCAGTTTAGGAGTAGAAACCCCACCATCTACATCTATATTAGTACCATTATCAATAACAGTTTCCATCTCATAAGGAGAAGCGTGACAGATATCCTTCAAGCATGGATTAGAAATGTCAAGCATCTCAACAGGGGGTGAGACATGAGAAAGTTGTTTGGCAGAAACAACACATTCCATAATGAAATTCTCATGGTTAGAATCTGAGCAAAGTGCATTGGAAAAAAAAGAGCTCTTAGTTCTACTAGCAGATCCAGTAGCTTTCACTTGAGTGGTCAGGTTGGCTTTATCCAGTTCATCAATAGCTAGGTCATCATCAATCAAGTCATCATTCATGCCATCCTTAGGAGCTTCCTCGTCATTGTTTTCCTGTCCTTCTTCAACCCCATCCGCATCTCCATCTTCCTCATCAACATCAATATCAACGACAAAATCAACACCACCAACCTGTTCATACCCTTCCACAGTAAAACCCAACAGAAATAACATTTTCTTCATCTCAATTAACCTTTCAAAAGGAATTTTAGTAGGATCCCTATAGGCAATCTTAATCCTTACATTCTGAAAGAAAGTCTTGAACATACCATTCCAATCTACATCCGTTTGAACCCCAAAGAGGGATGCAATTTGAGAAAACACTTTCCATGTGCACCACTTGGGAGGTATCCCTTCAATCAAAACCCATGCTTCAATTAATTCCACAAAAGGGTCACATGCACCTTTCCATTCACTCATTTTCACAGAGATATCTTGTGGTAGGCAGAAGCCAGGTAGCTCAATTAGATCCTCCACTTTCTTCCAAGGGGGAAACCTAACTAGGAAAGTCTTATTGGACAACCCCCTAATCTGCCACGACCATTGTTTTGTTTTGCAAAAAGTAACAGTCAGAAGACTCATCAATAGTGTTTTATCCACCTCACCTTTCAGGATGTTCACCTGCACAATTTTGAAATTGAGCCAGTTTGATTCATTAGCAATAGGGACATCCACATAGTAAAAATCAAGACCTCTAGCAGCACTACCAAAGAAGGCAACAATAGGTTGTACCTTGGATCAGGCAGCACAATTGTTCATATTGTGATTTTGTTGGCATATGAAACAAGACTCAGGTTTAACTCAGTCACCCACATAGTGCCCAGGCCACCACAGTTTAAGAAAATCATGTCTTTATACCTAGGATCTAGCACTTGCTCCAATTCCACCTCAACAGCTTGTGATGATTGTACGTGAGAAGAAGTCGCAATGGAGGTTGTGGATTTGGTTGGTCTTGGGTCAGGAGCAAGGTCTTTAGAAGGCGGAGCAGATGGTTGCTTGCGCCCCCACCATAGTTGGTCTTCTGCACGGGCGCCTTCATCTGACCAGCCGCACCTGCGTTGCTACCACCCTGGCTGTCCGACATCTTCACTCTCGCTTCACTACCTCAGCAAAAGACAAGGAGCCTGGACCGAGACCTTTGCGCGACAACTTAACAGTCTTCAGGGACGGATCAAAGGTCCGACGACAATCAGCAACAGTGAATGAACCTAACTTGACAAGTTGACTTACTTAATGTTAACTACTTTAATGATCTATAAACGCTCTTATATTTTTTTTACGTAGGCACGTGTATTGTTGCTGATGGATGAAATAGTAAGCTGATTTTTCAGTATCTCCTAAGTTGCCGCTAGGATCATCTCGGACTTTCTCAGATCCGATGTGCGAGCGGACAAATAAGAATTCATGTGCCAAGTCAACTCAAAAAATAAAAATATAGATCGAATTCAGATACCAAGTCGAACAAAAAATACGATGACTTTGTAAATCTCAAGATGATATGCCGGCTGTGTCTCTTGAAAGTGCTCATAGGGATAGAGTGTGCGTGTGTGCGTTAGGGGTGAGCGTATGCACGTATGTACGAGCACATGTCATGTGTTAAAAAAAAGAGATACCAAGTGGATATCGTCATGTCGATTCTTGCGTTAAGAAAAGCAGAGAGGAGTTGGTTGGGCGCTCGTGCTGGGCCTGGGACTGGGAGTGAATACCGACGAGGGAGCAGCGGTTGATGGCGGCATGTGCGTTGCGCAGGTGCAGGGGAAGCTGAGGGGTAGTTGGCATGCGCGCTCCGAGGCGCCCCTCGCGTCGTCGCGCCCGCACATCAAAATCCCAACGACGCGGACGGGCAGATCGCTACTACCGGCAGCAGCGCAACAAAGCGATGACACGCGGCTGCTAAACCCACCGCAGGCGGAGGGACCGAGACTCCGAGAGGCGCGGAGAAGCAGAGCGAGAGAGCGCGAGAGGGAGGGCGGAATGGCGTCGGCGGGCGTGGTGGCCGCGGCGGCGGTGGTGGCGGCGCTGGCGGCGTTCTGCGCGACGGACCCGATGCGGCTGGGCTCCATGGCGGACTTCCCGGGCTTCGAGGCGCACCCCGTGGAGCTCCCGGACGCGGCGGAGATGCCCCCGCACGCGGACGCCGCGGAGCGGCTGCGCGGCGCGGAGATCCGGTTCCGCGGCGAGGTGCAGGGCCCCGAGAGCGTCGCCTTCGACCCGCTCGGCCGCGGGCCCTACACGGGCGTCGCCGACGGCCGCGTCCTCGTCTGGGACGGCGCGCGCTGGGCCTACTTCGCGCACGCCTCCCCCGACTGGACCCCCGAGCGCTGCGGCGGGCCCAAGGCGTCGCCCATGGAGTACCTCAAGGACGAGCACGTGTGCGGCCGCGCGCTCGGCATCCGGTTCGACAAGCGGACCGGGGACCTCTACATCGCCGACGCCTACTTCGGCCTCTCCAAGGTCGGGCCCGACGGCGGGCTGGCAACGCCGCTCGCCACGGAGGCCGAGGGCGTGCGCTTCAACTTCACCAACGACCTCGACCTCGACGCCGACGGCAACGTCTACTTCACCGACAGCAGCGTCCTCTACCAGAGAAGGTCCGTATTGCCTTCTCCTCTCCTCCTCTGTTTCGTCAGTTTCATGTCAGCCTACTACTGGTTGCAGTAGCACATATCTGATATCTGTACTGTATATCCATTGCCTCACTCGTTTGTAAACTTGAGTTTTGAGTAGACCTCAGGACCCCTATCCACTGAACAACTGCTAACTGAAAACACTAGGGCCCTGTTCTTTGTTTTGATGGAAATCACTAGGCCCTGTAATTTGACAGGTAAAGGGGTGACTGAAATAGCTGTAGACACCATGGTATCATCTGTTGATTGTTGAAGGTCGACTACATAAATAGTAGTATACTGATATCTCTATGAGAAAGTTTGGCTACTTTTGGTAAAACAATTTGCATCTTGCTGAAAAGCGAATGCACCATAATGCACGTAAGGGTGGGAAACTTTCTTGTATTTTAATATACTCCTCAATTGAACTTTATACTAACACATCAATACCCATATAGTAATATTCGTCAATTGAACTTTATAGTACTAACACATCACTACCAAATAGATATATTCCTCATTTGAACTGTGTACTAGCAATTGAAGGGTTTGTTTGCTGTAAAATGTTTACCTTTAGTAACTCTGCTCCACATGAGGAACAGAGCAAATGTGGAAACTGTTCTCGTTTTCCTGCTTTATAGTTTCTTTGTGACGATTTCCGGGTAGACCGATAGGCGTCGAGCCGGACGTCTTGATCATGTAGAGGTGCAGGACTGTTGGAAATTGGAACTAATTATTAGTGTGTCCATTCATTTGCAGGCATTTCATGCAGTTGGTTTTCTCTGGAGATGCCTCTGGGAGGCTCTTGAAATACAATCCCCAAACAAAGGAGACGACGGTTCTTCACCGCAACCTCCAATTTCCCAATGGGGTGAGCTTAAGCAAGGACGGGTCGTTCTTCGTCTTCTGTGAAGGGTCTCGTGGAAGGTCTGTACACTCTTCTCTCCATTTGGTTCAGGCTGCCATACATGTACTCGAAACCAGACACTGATTATTGTGCCCTTCTCGAAACAGGTTGAGCAGGTACTGGCTGAAAGGTGAGAAGGCAGGAACCGTCGATCTCTTCGCCATCCTGCCTGGGTTCCCAGACAACGTGAGGACCAACGACAAGGGCGAATTCTGGGTAGCAATCCATTGCAGACGCAGCGCATATGCCCGGCTCTTGAGTCGCCGCGTCGAGCTCAGAAAGTTCTTGCTCAGCCTCCCGATCCCCGCCAAGTATCACTACCTGATGCAGATTGGCGGCAACCTGCACGCGCTCATCATCAAGTACAGCCCCGACGGCGAGGTGCTTGACATCTTGGAGGACACGAAAGGGCAGGTGGTGAGAGCTGTAAGCGAGGTGGAGGAGAAGGATGGCAAGCTCTGGATAGGATCTGTTCTCATGCCCTTCATTGCCGTCTTTGATTATGCCAAGGAATCTGGGTAAACGGATATGAAAACCACGAACGTCGCTCTTTCAGAGTTGCTTGATCCAAATAAATTTAGTATTGGAAGCAATCTAGAGTTGCTTGATGTTTCAGCCTTTTCCTAGTAGTAACTGTAACTCACTGACATTTTACTTTGTCCCTGGGATCTTTCACAGTTTATATTTTTTGAGTGTGTTCCTTATTTCTGTTTGTTTCATATATATATTTCAATTTCTGGTTGTTCAATTCAGAATATGTACCCCTAAAAAAAACATGTTCAGAATATGCTCTGAACATGTACTGGAAGCGGTTACCCTTATGTCCTTGTGCTAAATCTGATAGAAATTCAAGCAGGGATCAACAAAATGTAAGGGCCTCTTTGATTCGTAGGATTTCAAAAACTTAGAAATAGGAAAATACAAGATTGGAGTAGCATGTCATCTTTATCTTACAGGATTGGATCACAGAGTTTGATGCCACAGAAAAAGAACAAAGAAATTGAGAAATTGTACAAAAAGGTTGGAATCTGATAACACGCCCCACCGTCAGGTACGAGCACATAGCAAATCGAACATTTTCGATGGCAAGTTCAGTGACACTAATTTGCCGTCCTCGCGTCACTAGAATTGCCATGGAGAATGTTCGATTTGTCATGTGTGTCAACTAATTTTGTCATCCTTGCATCATTAGAATTGCCACTGAAAGCATTCGACTTGCCGTGTGTCAACTAATTTTGTCATCCTTGCGTCATAAGTATTGCCATCGAAAACGTTCGATTTGCAATGTGCTCGTACCTAACGTTGGTATTTATCATTTCCGAAAAGGTTCTAGTGGATGAGAATTTTCCTCCAAGATAAGAGTGGAACGAAATCCTTAGGCTTTGTTCGGTTACACCCTGTCTCAAGGGGATTGGAGGGGATTTGGGGAGGATTTGACTTGTATGGGATTCAATCCTTGCCAAACCCCGTCAAATCCATACCAACCGAACGTAGCCTTAGGGAATTGTCCTAGGAGTTTCATCCTCTGAATCAATCAGACAGGCTATGAAGGAAAAATTCGCAAGGAACCAATACCTCCACACAAAAAAAAAGGACCTAGAAATTCCCTTGAATCAATACTTGGAATCAAAGGAGCATTAAACAGTGTCACAAGCAGATATGCAGAGAAAACAAGCGTATCGTGAGCTCCCATGATTCGCAGCTGCACTATAGCAGTCTAAAAAGTACTAGTGGCAGATAGAGTGTATCACACTGGCAAATGAGGTGGTCTTTGATGGCCACAAAATTCCTTCAAGAGATTTGCCACTAGTGCTGCTGCTGTACATTATCACTACTAGTACTAGATTGATTGACCACGAGTGCCATGCAAGCAATTCCAATTCCAATTCCAATTCCAATTCCACGAGTGCCAAGCCAAGCAATTCCACTGGTCCATCACGAATCCATCCCATCCTAAAAGCAGCGACACGCCATGGCCAAGATCGCACGCACGCGGCACGCACGTGTGCGCGATCGCTTGCTGTACCAGGATGCCGAACTAAACTAGTCTAAACCTAACACACCTGACGACGAGACGGGGCAAATCTTTCCACGCGCACGCAACGCGACAGGGAACACACGCACTCGACTCGACGGAGAAGGAGAGGACGCCGACGTCGCTGTTGTTGTTGGCCGACTCGGCCGTCGACGAGCGCGGCTACCGGCGCGCGGAGGAGGCGCGGGAGCTGGAGCGGGAGGAGTTGGAGCGCCAGAACCCGGCGCCGTAGAGGCGGGAGGCCATGATCTCGCGCTCGAACTCGGACGCCGCCTCGGCCGCCTCCTCCTCGCGCCTCGCCCCGGCCTCCGCCTCGTCCGCCTCCAGCGCGTCCGCGGCCGCGAACATGGCCTTGGTGCTCCCGGACTGCGACGCCGACCCGCTGCCGCCGCGCCGCCGGCGCCGCCTCTGCCTGGCCCGCCGCGCGAGGTCGGCCGGCAGCCGGACCGCGACGAGCAGCACCAGCTCCAGCAGCGCCATGGGGCAGCAGCAGCACACCGCCGCGCAGTCCGCCGCCGCCTGCCCCGCCGCCTCGCCCCCGCACCCCGGCCGCGGCCCGCGCTCCCGCTCCCGCACCGCCTCCTTCTCCTCCCCGCCTTCGCGGCCGGAGCCGCCGCCGTCCCGCATCTGCCGCTTCCACGCCCCCGACCCTCAACGCGCCGGTCCAAGTCGCTCCACCGTGGGCGGCCGCGCGGTTCTCGGATCGGTTATGTAGAGGAGGGCGGTTGGTGCGGAGGCGGCGACGATGGCGTGGCGTGGGCGTGGCGTGTAGCGGCGGGCCGAGGAGAAAAAATCAAACCGCAATTTTCTACTGCCCTCACGCGGCCTGCAGTTATGTTTCCCTGCTATTTATTCCCTGCTGTTTTTTTTTGTGTGTGGATACTGCTTTTGTTTTCTTGGAAGGTTGTTCCGTATAGTGGTTATTATTGTGGCGGACTCGTTGCCAGAAAAAACGGGAATGCCGGGACGCAACCGCGCGAAAAGGGGTGCGAGACCGCGACGGCCCGCGGCCGGGCTCGACCGGCTGCGCCACACCTTCGCGGTGCGATGCGATAAGACGGAGAGAGGTCGACGGGAACAGCCGCGGCGGCGTGTCGGACCCCCGTTGTGTGGACTGTGCAGTGGAGTTCCGGGAGATTTTTCCGTCCGACGGCGCTTTCCGGCCAAGCGCCCGTGTGGGTTTTGGCCGAGTGGGAGAGATCGGCGGGCACACCACACGGTTGTGGACGGGGACGGGGCAGGCAGCCTCCGTTGTTGGTACACGTCTTATGTGTGATTGATAAGGTCAAGGTGATGGTGATGGTATAGAGCTATGGGAAACGTTTCACGACGGGGCACCGGCCGAAGCTTCGACCGGTCGCGTCCACGCGCGAACGTACCGAGCGACTCACCTAGCGACACGTAGGATGGAGGGCCCGCCCACGTGCGTCTTCTCCCTCCTGTTTTTCTTCTTCCCGTCGCTTGTCTCTCTCTCTCCGCTGCCATGGCCAAGCTTCGCCGGCCGGAGACCTCCTAGGGCGCCGCCGCCATGGGAATCAGCGGATCCGGCTGCCCTCGGCCAGATCTGCTCGGATCCGCGCCACCAGATCTGCTCCCGATCCCCTCTTTTCTCTCTCAGCCTAGCGCGCTGCTGGCCCTCTTCTTCCTTCCTCGGATCCCGCCGCCGGCCAGCCCAATCCCGTGCAGGTCCCCTCGCCCCCCCCTCCCGCCCTATACAAGTTCCCCCCGCACCGGCGAGCCTGAGCTAGAAGCCGCCATGCAACTGAAAAAGCTACAACCGTTCATGCGAAAGCTTCAAACTGTATTTGAAAAAGCTTCAACCGACGAAATAGATAAGTTTCATGCGAACACTACGAAAGAAAAAAAAGCTACAACCATCGGCTTGGAAAGCTTCAAATGTGAATTGAAAAGCTTCAACCCGCTTTATACAAGGCTTCAACCAACTGTATAGAAAGCTTCACCCCCATGAGTACACAACGAAAAAAGATGCAATTGTCGACATGAAAAGCTTCAACCGCATTTCTGAAAAGCTTCAACCGTAATTCTGAAAAGCTTCAACCGTATTTCTGAAAAGCTTCTACCAGAGACCGCGACAAAAAGCTTCAACCGTATTTCTGAAAAGCTTCAACCGTATTTCTGAAAAGCTTCAACCAGAGACCGCGACAAAAAGATTCAACCGTATTTCTGAAAAGCTTCAACCATAATTCTGAAAAGCTTCAACCGTATTTCTGAAAAGCTACAACCAGAGACCGCGACAAAAAGCTTGAATCAGCAACTCACTATTGATGCAACTGACTACTACGGTGGCTTCCCGGCGGAGCTGCAACGGCGACGAACTCCAGGCACCGGCAGGGGTCGATTTTTGTTTGCTGGGGTCCATTTTTTGCTGCATCAGAGGGGCGGGGCCATGGGGCACCTGTGCTCCAACTGGCGAGCGGCGACGGCGAGCGGCGACGGCGAGCGGCGACGGCGACGGCGAGGGCGAGCGGCGAACGGCGACGGGGATGACGATGAGGTAGATACCCATGGCTGGGTGTGGGGTGGCCCGTGGCGCTTGCCGTTGCTCGATCCGAACGCGGAAGGTAGACGATGCGGGGAAGGGGCTCGATCTGACGGTTGGGAGTCAGTGCATCGGACGGCCTGGGCTCGACCGGCCCAACTGTTGGGCCGGCGCACCGGCGCAGATCACTGCCCTAGAGCTATTTATTTATGTATAAGCCAGTGTAGCTTGTTATAATTAGCTGCTCTTATAAAATGATGATGACGAGTGGAGAGAGATTATTTTAGGTTATTTTGGATTCATTGAGCAGCTGACCGATCAGTGGAGCCAAGAGGCAAGGTAGATTTCAGGAAAAGTATGACCAAATAGCCGAGCAGTACTTGCTCTTCAGGTTGTATTTGTTGGAAATATGCCCTAGAGGCAATAATAAATAAGTTATTATTATATTTCTTTGTTCATGATAATAGTCTTTTATTCATGCTATAACTGTATTATCCGGAAATCGTAATACACGTGTGAATACATAGACCACAATATGTCCCTAGTGAGCCTCTAGTTGACTAGCTCGTTGTGATCAACAGATAGTCATGGTTTCCTGGCTATGGACATTGGATGTCGTTGATAACGGGATCACATCATTAGGAGAATGATGTGATGGACAAGACCCAATCCTAAGCATAGCACAAAGATCGTGTAGTTCGTTTGCTAGAGCTTTGCCAATGTCAAGTATCTCTTCCTTTGACCATGAGATCGTGTAACTCCTGGATACCGTAGGAGTGCTTTGGGTGTATCAAACGTCACAACGTAACTGGGTGACTATAAAGGTGCACTACAGGTATCTCCGAAAGTATCTATTGTTTTATGCGAATCGAGACTGGGATTTGTCACTCCGTGTAAACGGAGAGGTATCTCTGGGCCCACTCGGTAGGACATCATCATATGCGCAATGTGACCAAGGAGTTGATCACGGGATGATGTGTTACGGAACGAGTAAAGTGACTTGCCGGTAACGAGATTGAACAAGGTATCGGTATACCGACGATCGAATCTCGGGCAAGTAACATACCGATAGACAAAGGGAATTGAATACGGGATTGATTAAGTCCTTGACATCGTGGTTCATCCGATGAGATCATCGTGGAACATGTGGGAGCCATCATGGGTATCCAGATCCCGCTGTTGGTTATTGACCGGAGAACGTCTCGGTCATGTCTGCATGTCTCCCGAACCCGTAGGGTCTACACACTTAAGGTTCGATGACGCTAGGGTTATAAAGGAAGCTTGTATGTGGTTACCGAATGTTGTTCGGAGTCCCGGATGAGATCCCGGACGTCACGAGGAGTTCCGGAATGGTCCGGAGGTAAAGATTTATATATAGGAAGTCCTGTTTCGGCCATCGAGACAAGTTTCGGGGTCATCGGTATTGTATCGGGACCACCGGAAGGGTCCCGGGGGCCCACCGGGTGGGGCCACCTGCCCCGGGGGGCCACATGGGCTGTAGGGGGTGCGCCTTGGCCTACATGGGCCAAGGGCACCAGCCCCAAGAGGCCCATGCGCCTGGGGAAACCCTAAAGGAAGAGTCCCAGCAGGGGAAGGCACCTCCTAGGTGCCTTGGGGGGGGAGGACTCCTCCCCTGGCCGCCGCCCCCTTGGAGATTGGATCTCCTAGGGGCTGGCGCACCCCCCCTTGGGATCCCTATATATAGTGGGGTAGGAGGGCCTCCCAAACACACCTTATGCCTTTGGTGCAGCCCCTCCCTCTCTCCCAAGTTCTTCTCCTCTCCCGTGGTGCTTGGCGAAGCCCTGCGGGATTGCCACGCTCCTCCATCACCACCACGCCGTTGTGCTGCTGCTGGATGGAGTCTTCCTCAACCTCTCCCTCTCTCCTTGCTGGATCAAGGAGTGGGAGACGTCACCGGGCTGTACGTGTGTTGAACGCGGAGGTGCCGTCCGTTCGGCACTTGATCATCGGTGATCTG